TCAATAATGAGAGAGATCATTGATCGGCTGCCTCCTGCACACCCCCCACTGGGGATTGAACCATGCCCTTGACTGGAATCGAACCCCAGGACCCTTCATTCTGCAGGCTGACACTGTATCCACTGAGCCAAACCAGCCAGAGCTAAACTATATTTTAAAGTAACCAAATTCCTGATGAGCTAATTCAGAAAGAGTGATAGAATTAATAAATCACTATTTTTTCCATCTGATGAAATAGAGAATCTGGGCATTGGTCATCAATGGCTGCTGTAACTGTTAATTAAAGGGCTGGTGGGGATCACTAAAGTGGACAGATCAGGCTGACAGTATGCTCAGTCTTAGCATCAACAAGAATAGTCAGAACTTATGTGCCTTTTTACTAACTGCAATAGGAAGTACCCACTATTACCAGTGAAAGATTCTTAAAAATTTCTACATGATCTTATCACTCTTCTAGATATAGCCACTGATTCACGAAAAAGATAGGGGATAAAAAAATACATTAAATGACACTAGGGAGATACAAGTGGCTAAATTTAGAATATAGGAAATTCTACACAGTAAATGATTGGATATAAAAATAAATTGACCAAAGATTGGGAAACTTACAGAATAAAAGAGCTTTACATCAATCAAATGCAATGTATGGATCCTGTTTGAATCCTCACTTGGACAAACCAACTGTTAAAGACATTTTGGGGGATAATCCAGGAATTTGAATATCCCTTCATATTCTGTGCTTTCATGGAATTTTTATTTTTGGGGAATATGTGGTAATGGCTGTGTAATTTTTGTGATTAACATGAGTCAGACGTTTACTGAGCTAATTGGGATTTGCAGCTTTCCATTTTGATTTACTCAGACTTAATATTTGTTTTCTTTTTTGGCTTTTAGAATAGTTCTTTCAGTATTTCTCGGCTTCCTTTGAAAGGCCTTACAAATATTATTAAGTCACCCTTGTCTATGCTAGAAATGGTGAAGACCTGTTGTTGTGATAAACAAGATTACGACCTTTGTAAATCCAGAAGTAGTTACAGCATCTTCCTTTGCATTTTGGCAAAAGTCGTTAAGAAAGCCATGAAGAACAATAGTCCTCATCCTTGGAAACAAGTCAAAGGAAGGTGTGTACCATATTTTTCTTTATCATCTTCACTTATATCTTTGGAGATGTGTTACTGTTTGTATTTTTTAAGTTAACTTTTGCTTGGAGGTCTTTATGGTTCACACACTTAAAATGTATTTCTTAATGAAGCACAGCAAAATACGGAGCTCTTTGAACCTGCCAATGTTTTATAGTAAGGAACAAGATAATAATATCTATAACTCGTGGAGGATTTTACTTTCTTATTTATCTCATCAGTCCTAAAAATTGAAATTTCATATACTAAATGCGTTGAGCATCTACCCCCAGGTGGTCAGTGCGCATCATAACAACCGGTCATTCCACTGTTCGGTCGATTTGCATACTAGGGTTTCATATAGATAGATAATTCTCAGAACGTTATTGCTAAAAGGAAACATTGGAATCCATTCAATAACAAGTTTCTTTTTTATGAAATTAGAGGCCTCGTGCACTGGTAGGGTCCAGCCGTCCCACCTGAAGGGGGTCCATCGGGGGCAGGCAGGCTGGGGCGAGGGGCCACGGGTGGTTTGCTGACCGGCCCTGCCCTCGGTTGGGGTGAGAGGGCCAGCCAGGGTGAGGAGCCGTGGGCATTCCGGTCATTCCGCTGTTTGGTCAATTTGCATATTACCATTTTATTATATAGGAATAGGATATTGTATACCAAGCACTATAGTTGGTATGATGGAAGTTTTAAAGTTAATTAAACAGATCTTTACTTTCAGGAATTTTATCAGTTCTATTATTTACAAACTAGAAGCCCAGTGCATGAAATTCGTGCACTGGTAGGGTCCCTAGCGGCTGCTGGCTGCCGCTGGGTAATCCCTCCCTTCCCCTGGCTGGCCCTGCCTCCTGGTCAAACTCTCGGACAACTCCCAGTCGAGGGGATAATTTGCATGCTACACTTTTATTATATAAGATAAACATTTAACCACTCTTGAACATAATCATTTCTGTCTTTACTAATTATAGGAGCTATAAAACTTAACAGTTTGTAAGTAAGATTCAACATGAATGATTTTCATTTCTAATCCCTTAATTGTTGAAAGAAAAGCCTAGCAGCTGTTAAAATTATATTAAGTAGTATTGACAAGAGATTTTTAAATGGCTAGTCTTAGACATTTTAACAGGAACAATTTCTCTTTGTCAGTAGGTAAAAATAA